CCTTGTAGTTGCAGTCACACTGTTTCTACCTTGTAGTTGCATTCACACTGGTTCTACCTGTAGTTGCAGTTATGCTGTTTCTACCTGTAGTTGCAGTCACACTGCTTTTACCTACATTTACTAATTCTAACAATATCATTTGAGGGCTAGTATAGTTTTTTGAACTATGTCGTTTTACATGCTTTTATTTCAGTTAAATATTTATTTCTCTTTGTGATTATTCTACTGTTTCATATCTGGGTGCTCACCGTGTCACCATGCAGTGTGTATCGCTTATTGTTATGTTCGCTGTTTTTTCTTGTGTAGTGCAGCTTAGGTGGGACACGGTGAGCGTCACTTATGCCAATAAAATATCTTAAACTGTAACTTGAGTGTTTGTGTCGTAAATCGGTTCCTGGGATGTTTTTCTTTTTTTAAATAGTGTGATGAGCATTTTTTTTTTAAATGGTGTGATGAGCTTTTTGCTTGTGTGTGCGTCTCTCAGATTTTTACGATACTTTGGCAGAAACAAGTTACCATTCTAAGTTGATATACATGCCGCCTGAAAACAGAATTCCATGAGAACTACACACACTCAGACAATGAGGAGGTCACACACAATATCGATAGTTGATAAACCATGGCTATCACACACATTTGGAAAAGCGAATATTACTATAGCAACGTAATCAATCAAATATGACAGTGTATCTCAAAAGAGGATTTTGCATTTCCCATGGCAATTATCTTGAGTTGCACTTGAGGTTAAAGTCGGCTTTCCAGATGATTGATATCGACTTACACAAATTTAAACATAACCGAAACTAGCAATGAAACTAATACAATATAATATGAATATTGAAGGATTATTTTGAAAAAAAAACCACGGATGTAGAATGTATAGTGTACGTGCAGGACTCAGCTTGCTTTGTCACATCTAATCACTCATAAATAATGTTATTTGTCAAATAAAGTCATAAAAAGTGAAATATATATGAATTAACACATTATGATTATCAGATCATTGCCCACCTCTATAACGCACTACGTCATCCCATCCGTGCACTTGACAAGGCATATACCGCACAAAGTCTGATGGGGTAGAATTCTTGTAACAGTTACAAAATAACTGCGCTAACATCATATTTCCAAATTCCAACAAACAATTCTGTATTTAAATTTTCCAATTTAAAGCGACGTGGATACAGCACAAAAATAACTATGAATTCCAAGACAGGTGATGTAATATGGTTAATTATTTATAGAATTCAATGTTCTGTCCGAAAAAACACCGACTGTATTAATCAACCAGGAACTGGTCTGGCAGATGATTACACAATGTTGTGACAGGTGGATTTCTTATTGAAGATTTTCTGCAAACTAGCATATATCCAAGCGTAGATCTCGAAATATGTTACACAGATGAATCTTCTGATTAAAAATCATAGATTATCCAATCACAGTTCTGCCACAGATATTAAACTGACGCATTATAAACAGCTATAGTAAATAGTCTCCAGAAATTCACGAACGGCAAATTAAACCGGATTCAAATTAAACATGATGTGATATTCATACACAGAAGAAAAGCTGGAGAAAGACGGCTGATAACGATTAAATGAATCCATACAAGTGCATCCGCTATCTCCGTTTCTATCAAAAATCTACAAGTAAAATTGTCCACAAGGTGAAGGATATTTAAATTGCTGCGTTAGAGACTTTAACAGGGTGTTTTCACAGCTGTGCCGAGCAGCTTGCTAACGTGATCAATCAACAACCTGAACTATGGTGACCCGATTTCTGATACTTTACGGTGATCCATCGTAGTGAATCGACCGATAACGGTACACGAAACCCAGAGGTGGGCTTTGCAGACAGTATATTCATAAGGGTGCATCTACAAATTAAGTGCCTTTTTTGAGGCTCAATCTGAATCAGGTTCTACAAAACTGGCAATAAAATCAGTGTCAGACTATCCTTGGTTTGTCTACAAATCTTACTAGAAAACAGCATATTGCATTATATTACTGAAGGCGCAATGCATGAAATTTATTTAAATTGATCAGAGGCAAGACGTTTTTTTAACTTTATCTTAATTATTAACAAAAACAGTACAAATAAATTCAAAACAAAACAAAGTAACCACTACGATATCTATATTTAAACTTACATTTTCTAATCCAAATTGTGCACTAGGAATACTGGAAGAATACAATGCTGATGATATTTGCATTATATTCTATGTTTACAATTTGAGTGCCAAATTTTTTCCCGCCAAAATTTCAGTGAAACATTTTGTCTATTTTTATGAATTTTTCAATTTTTTTTTTCATAATTTTGGTTTAAATGGAAATCATGTAAAGCATGTATTAAATCATGTAAAGCATGTATTAATAATTAGTCTTGTTAATTTCTAACATGTAGCACAGACTAGTGACTACGCAAACTTCATTAACAAACAAACATTTTTTTTCTCCAAATACAATATTTAAAATTATTGTGAAAAAACAATTTACGTTAAATCTCATGCTACGTGAACAATGAGTGTGGGTTTTTTTAAGCAAAATTGACTGCTGCAAATTTCAATTTTAAAATGAATAAATATTTGTTATACAGTATAATTTAAATTCTGTTGGCTTCTCTATATTTGTATACGGGTTGATTCCTTTCTTAAAAACATTGAGTATCTAGATCACAGTAAAATAAGCATTACATTAACCACTTTTATGGACAATTTCATTTCATTTGTCACTTACAGGTGAGTTTAACAAAGCTGATATACAGTACTTTTATAAAATAACACCAAATACACAGGGAATATGTTAATTGAAGAAAATTAGTATCGCTATTATATGTGTGACTTGGACAGTAAAGGCACAGAAGTAGTAATAATAGTAAATTACCCAAGGTACTATTCAGAGAGTACAATCAGAAACTAAAATGAGCGCAAGCTAGACCACTTTTCATAAATTAACCAAAATATTTTTTTGGTACAAATTTTAATTGAGACATGAATGGGAAATTATGTTCATTATTGTTTGAAATTAACAAAGAAATTATAGAAAAATCGAAAAAAATGTGGAAAATGTTGCACTAAAATAAAGGCGGGAAAAATTCTAATGAAGATCACTGGGTGAAGGAACAAGATATTGTTTGCTTACAATTAAAATAGTAAAAATAGTAGCAGTTAGATCTGGTCACAATATGGTGAAGAAAAAACACAAGAGTTCAATGACCTCAGTGAATCAGATGAGGTCAAAGGAGGGCAGTGTTATGATTACATGGGTCTTCCTCCAAAAAATGTTGGTGCAATAGTTTTATGCATTTTCTAATTTTTTTTAGCTAACTAACCTTTTCGCCACCAGGGAATAGACACTTTTCCCTATATTTTACATTCAACTCATCAAAATCAGTGAAAATAAAATCGATGCAAAAAAAATCAAAGTCTTTTTATCACAAATTCACAAAATATCCTGTTTATAGTCTGCACCTCTCTTCTGAAGATCGTGACAAAAATAGTCAAATTTTTCGAGTAAAAACTGATAATTGACTCAAATTTTGTCTGTTGGCTCCAAATTAAGGGCTCATTTTGAGAAATATTGAAGAAAAGAAAAAAATGTATTGTCCAATGGCTACAGTTTAAGATCAAACTGTTTTTGTTTTGTTTTTTTAAATATGGAATATACCAGTAATTTAGCAGGTTTAGTTTATGACAGGTGACTTAAGTAGCCTTTGGTGTTTCTCTATTTCCCGTCATGAAGCACTCAAATGAAAAGAACTCAAACGATGACACAGAACACGAGAAAAACATTTGGTGGATTCAAAGATCTGAAATAATCTATCACGAAAACAACTTGTGTCCACCTGACCATTTTAGTACCTCAGCGTTATCGATATTGCCCGATAAGATGTAATTTTAGAGTCTGCTCAAGATTTCTGACACAGTGACGATGAACCATGAAATCCACTGAATACACCAACCACATCTGTTAATCACAGAATCACCATACATACGATGAATTTCAATTCAGCAGATAATAACCCATCATTAGACGCCAAATACTTCCCTGGGAATGGGTCTATTAACATGCAATAATGGACAACCTCATCATCATTTGGTTTGTGTGCACGAGAGTCACAAGTCACAGATGTGAAAGAGGTTCAATGAGTTCTCACAAACGAATTACTATAGGATGATTTGAATTTTCTTCAACAGGTCACATGCATTCACGACATCCTATGAATGATTACAATGTGCCAATTTCCGAT